AACAACATAGTTTTGGTGAGTAATTTAAAAATATATATATATTTCAAAATTCCCTCATAACTACCTTATACACGCAATAGATATACAAAGCAGACTGAGAGAGAGAGAGAGAGAGAAGAAGAGAGAGACGACACTCCAACCTTGCCTCCCGACGCCTCGACGCCGTCGCCACCATCCTACTGCCGTCAACACCCTTCCATTGCCGACGCCCTTCTGCAACCGATTGAAGAAAAATATAGGTTTGTACTCCTCCAAACTTTCTCCAATATTTGGGTTTTTATTTGAAAATTTCAGATTTTTTTTTTTAATTTTAATGGTAATAAAAGTTTGTTAGCTGTTGAATGTGTTGATTGGGGTGAAGATTTAGTTGTATTTCTTTTGTTTTGAAATGACAATGCAGCTAAAATGTTGTTGAAATGTTGCTGAAATTGTGGGGACACAATTTTTGAGTAACAACACGTGGCCGAGGTGACATCGAAGTGTCAGCCGAGTTGCTATGTGTCCTGATCATGATGCCGAGGTAATCTACGAGACTACCGGAATCCGAGATAAGCGGATAAGGGACAAGAGCCCTAAAATTGGGGAGGACTTCAGTTTGGATAAAGATGAGACTCTTAGAGAGTTTATTTCAATCTAACTGGGAGTCCAAGATTAACAGTGAGACAGAATCCATTGGAGCTAAGCTTCTATTGGGATTAGGTCAGTGTTGGCTATAAAAGACAGGCACCCTCGTGGGTCTAAGGTATGCTTTTTGTATTCTGAATAGTAAGGTAAGCACTTTTGCTATCATTGAGAGATAACTGACTTGATCATCGGAGTGTCCCTGGGTGGACAAACCACCGCCGGAATCTTATCTTTCTATGACAGGTTGTTCGAGCTCAATCTATTTTGTTGGTGCTCTCCAACTGAGTTCCCCCTTTGGTTATGTGGTCAGAAATCAACATCCACAATTTGGCGCCGTCTGTGGGAAAGAAAGAGGAATAGATGGCCAACAACGGCTAGAAAGAAAAGGTTAGGGACGACATCCCTACTGGGAGTGGTAAGCACATTGACCTTGACGTTAAAGAAGACAACTGCAACAAAGAGACTCGTGATAAGAATCACAGGGATAAAGACATCGGCCAGGAGGGCGACGTACCAAAAAAATCAGACCGAGGCGCATATTATAACGAGGATGACCTACAGGTATGGAAAGATAGATGCCTGCGGAGGGATGCAGAGATGAAGGGAATGGCAGACAAATTGGCAAATCTACAAACGGTCGTCAATTTCATGATGCAGAACAATATCATGCAGCCACCGTTCCCGTTACAAGACACGCCGATTCCAGCGGCCAAGAACAATGCCCAAAAGGGAGGGCAAAAACCGTTCCTGTAGCCCCCCAGCACGTTAGAACCAAGGAACACTCTCACCGACCTTTAATGGAGGTCGGGCGAGGAAAGTCAATAAAAGGAGATTCATGGAGGACGCATCGTACCAAGGAGGATGACCCCAAAGAACATCGGCATGTTTAAGGGAAGGAGCTCTGTTTCGATGCAACTAACGGAGAGAGGTCCAAGAAAACTTACAATGACACCGCAAGTAGTGCACCAAAAAGACTAAAATCCGGAGATAGCCGAGCTCCTAGGCGGACCAAGGAGGATCTGAGGGATTACCTCCAAATGAAGCAATACGATGCCGAGGTAACCTCCCTGGTTAAGCCGAGAACGCCGTTCTCGGTAGAGTGGAACAAATTTGAGGCCCCGAAAAGGTTCAGTATACCGAGATTCTAGATATACGACGGTAAGTCAGACCCCAACTTTCATGTCGGCTTATACCTGAACTCGATGGCATTATACACCAGGAACGAACCATTGCTTCGCAAGGTGTGCCCCTCGTCCTTTGGGGAAATTATATCAGACTGGTTTCACAAGTTACTGAAATAAACTATGAAGACCTGAGAAGGCCTGGCCGAGATGTTTGTGGCCTGGTTTGTGACAAACAAGCTACAGCCATTAAGGGTGGACGCCCTGATGGCTCTGAGAATCAGTGAGGATGAAAGTCTTAGGGCCTATGCTAATAGGTATTATGATGTATTTAACCGGATACCAGGATGCAACCAAGAGGTGGCGGTCGTGTCTTTTAAGAACGGCCTGAAAGATGATTGTTTTCTTTGAAAATCATTGGCAAAAACACTGCCAAAAAATATGGAGGAACTAATGTCCAGAATTGAGAAGTATGCAAGGGCCAAGGAAGACACGCCGGGGACAAGGGCATCGAAACAAGAGAAGGGAAACGGCTCGTCGAAACGAGGCCGAGGTAATGGCGGATACAACAAGCAAGAAACGAAATTAAGGGTTGTACAGGCAGTCACAACCGTATTCCGAATCCCAGTCTACAAAGTCTTGGAGAAAATCTGAAATCAGCCCTATTACAGAGCACCAATAAGGGTTCCGGGCGAATTTATGGGAAGAAGCCTTAGTAAGCACTGTGCTTACCACAACGAAGATGGGCATCTGACTCAGGGGTGCAGAACCCTGAAGGCACATCTGAAAGACTTGGTAAGACAAGGTCATTTAAGGGACCTTATAGACGAGGCCAGGACAAGGGAAGAGCAAGCAAGACTGCCTCAGGCACCGGCATCACCACCTCCTCCAGCACCACAACTGCAAGCAGGCAGACCTCAAGTGATCAATGTGATTCACTCAAAGGTTAATGAGAACGAAATATGTGGAGAGACTTGAAAGGTAAAACCCTTGCAGCATGTGTATCAGGTTCGACAGAAAAGACCTAGGGCAGACGAGTGCTAGGGACCAGTGGTGTCCTTTACTGAAGGTGACATAGAGATGGTATAGCATCCACACAACGATGCCTTGGTAATATCCCTCCAGATTGGAGAATGCCAAGTGAAGCGCATCTTAATTGACCAGGGCAGCTCTTGTGACATCATGTATGTCAGATGTTACAAGGAGCTTGGCCTTCATCAAAATGATCTAGAGTAATCCAATGGTCCAATGGCCGAGTTCAATGGAACGCCGACATGGCCCCTGGGGGCAGTAAGTTTGGAGGTGCAGGCTGGCACCAAGAAGATAAAAACAGAGTTCACCATAATCGATACCCCCTCCCCTTACAATGTTATCCTAGGAGGCCATGGCTACATGCAATGGGGGCTGTTCCTTCCACGTTGTATCAGCTATTGTGGTTCCCAACAAAGCATGGAATAGAGGAGGTCAGAGGGGATCAGGTGCAGGCAAAGAATTGCTCCATGGCAGCAATGAAATCTACCTGCAACACACGAGAACCAGAAACAGTAGAGATCAAGGATGAAGACGTGGAAGTCCTGGAGGACGTCGGCAAAGAGCCAGAGAAGGCAAGCTTGGCCCAAACTGGAAGGGACCTTATAAAATCATCTCGGTCCTGGGCAATGGGGCATATCGGCTTAAAGATAGTGAAGCCAAAGAGTTGCCAAGACCCTGGAATAGTTGCAATCTGAAGTTTTTCTATCATTAGATTTTTGTTTTTTAAATTTCTTTTTATTTAGCCGAAGTAATAATAAAGTCTTAACTTGATTTTTAAACTTGTGTAGTATGACTGACCAGTCACTTGGCGATGTTTCAGATTGAAACATGACAAATAAATTCGACTTATTATATGGCAGAGTTTCTATACTTGCATATAATAGAGTTGAACTAAGTTGGCGATGTTTCTAATTGAAACATGACGAATAACTTAAACTTATTATATGACAAAGTTTCTATACTTGCATATAATAGAGTTGAACTAAGTTGGCGATGTTTCCGATTGAAACATGACGAATAACTTAGACTTATTATATGGCAGAGTTTCTACTTGCATATAATAGAGTTGAACCAAGTTGGCGATGTTTCTGATTAAAACATGACGAATAACTTAGAATTATTATATAGCAGAGTTTCTATACTTGCATATAATAGAGTTGAACTAAGTTGGCAATATTTCCGATTGAAACATAACGAATAACTTAGACTTATTACATGACAGAGTTTCTATTTGCATATAATAGAGTAAAACTAAGTTGGCGATGTTTCTGATTGAAACATGACGAATAACTTAGACTTATTAGATGGCAGAGTTTCTACTTGCATATAATAGAGTTGAACCAAGTTGGCGATGTTCCTGATTGAAACATGACGAATAACTTAGACTTATTATATGGCAGAGTTTCTATACTTGCATATAAAGTTTCTATACTTGCATATAATAGAGTTGAACTAAGTTGAAATAACCTATATCAGTTAGATTAACAGGGAGACTGAGGTTAATGATCTCGGCTAGTCTTTATTTGAATCTGATCTCGCCGACAAGATCATTGGTACATGCATAATGAGAACCTAAGTGGAACTTAAGTTCACATTAGGAGGCAGATAGCTGGAGAATAATGCTTTGGAAGCTGGAGATTGGTTTAACAGTTGTTGGAATTTTAGAATTTACAAGTTGTAGTTAAGCCAGGGTTATGTGGAAAGGAGATTGGTTTAACACTTGTTGAAATTTTAGAATTTACAAGTTGCAATTAAGCCGAGGTTATATGGAAAGGAGATTGGTTTAACACTTGTTGAAATTTTAGAATTTACAAGTTGAAGTTAAGCCAATGTTATGTTGAAAGAAGTGGCAAGTTGTAAATAACACTTGTGAAAATATTAAAAAATATTTTCAAGTGTTAAGTCAAAGCCGAAATAAACAAGTCAATAGTTATGTCCGAGGTATTTTATTCTGAGAAGATTACACAGTTAAGGTGTATGTTGAAGACATACAAATTACTAAGTATGGAATCATACAAGATAGTAAAAAGAAGACAGACATGCAATCGCATTGAAAGAAGAAATTTGAGGGTGCATTCAAATAAGGAAAGAAGGCACTTCAGCCTAACATTGAAGAGTAATTGTTCAGATTACAAAGGAGGCACATCGGCTAAATTAAAACTTGCATTGTTTCAAAAGTAAGAAAAGAGTACTAAGTACAAAGAAAAAAGATCATAAACGAAACTAATCGATGTTGGCAGTGGACTGTGTCTCGCATCTAGAAGATAGTTGGGAAGACTTCTCGGCAGCCTTCTCAGCCTCAAGCTCGGCATCGATCTCTTGAAGAGTTTGATCGATGCTCCTCTCGGCGATTGGCACCTCAGAAGTTGTCTTCTGAGAGAAGGCATCTTTGGAGACTTCATCCACATCATGAGTCAAGTCCAAGACTTGCTCATTCAGAGTTGGGGACTTGGCCCCAGCAGCTTTGGACACCTAGGTCTCCTTGGCCTCAGCTTCCACCTCGGACTCAGTTTCGTCCTCGGACTGGCTTGGAGAGAGGGGAAATGACAAGACGAGGTTGCTAGCATCCTTCAGAGAAGAGTCCTCGTGGACAGCCAACGCCTTTAGAACATCCATCCAACCAAGGATATAGCCCTTGTTGCATGCATGTCTGACTTGTTTCTTGTAATCTTCTCTGACGTCGATCGCCCCCTCAGCGTACGCCTTCTCGTCCACCACTTTGATCTCAGCCTCTTTCATGGCTAGGGCATCTTGAAGCTCTTTTTGGGCTTCGACCATCTTTGCCTCAACCTTTTTCTTTTCGGCCGCAAGAACCTTGGCAATGGCCTCTGCAGTATCAGCCTTTTCCTCGGCCTCGTCCTGAGCCTTCTTGGCTTCCTCGGCCTGATCTGTCAAGGTCTTCATCTTTGCCTCGGCCCTGTTAATGGTTTTCTGCAAGCCAGCAGCTTCCCTGGTCTTGTTGGCCAACTCCTTCTTGATGGCAAAAGCTTGCATCACAAAGGAGTGGCCATGCTGGATCGCCTAGAAGAAATGGAAAGAACAGATGTTAGTAAAAACTCTCTAAAGTATGAGAAATACAGAGAATGGAGAGTGCCAAGTGATGGTTGCTTACCTATACAAAGTGCTGCAACATCACAGCAAAATTTTCATATTCGCTCATCTCAGCATTGCGGTTGAGATCGTTGGGAAGGAGCAAGGCAGTAAAGAAGGCAACGCCGACTTCGATGTCATCGGTGCTGTCACTAGATCTGACTGGCTTGTCCTCAATTGTGATTGGGAGGGCCTAGGGGGCATCGGATTTGAGAGCCCCGAGGTGGCCGCAGAGGCCAACCTCGATCTCTTTGACTTGGTGGATTCGAATGGTTCAGCCTCAGTGAGCCTTTTCTCTGCGGCGGAAGAAGACTTCACGCCCTCGGCCAGTTTTGATATCAGTAGGGTGTCCTCAGTATCAATCTGAGTCACCGTTGCCTTGGGTTATGCCTTCTTCAGTCTTTTGGGTTTGGGTTTTGGTTTTGGTTGGGACTGGGATGGAGAAGGTTGTGTGGTGACAGTGTTGGGGATATCGGCAAGGAGGTCGTCTGCAACAGCTTTCTTGCGACCCATCTCGGCGGCAATTGCAGTTCGACGTCGACGTTTGCGTTGGATTGGAGGGATCAGTTATGGAGTTGAGGTTGACGGTTGCTCTTCTAGATCGGAGTTTGATCCCTGAATTGGCCGAGGTGATGATGCTGTTGGAGGAGTTGTGCCGGAAGGGGGAGACTTGTTTTTCTTCTTCTTTGGGACGTCGGGAAGCACCGACTTGTAAGTCGGGATGAAGTTGAGCAGCAAAGGAGCTCTCCGCCGCTCAACTGGCAGATCCAACAGCTTTTTAAGGTCCTTGCTGGAAAAAGAAGGACTTGCGAAAGTCCTTGGGTGGCTGTGGAAGAACTGCAAGAAAAGACAAACGTCAGAACATATAGAAGGAGCAAAGTATTGAAAACTTGAAAGCAACTAAATGTAACACTTGGTTCTTACCATCTCCCTCTTTGAATAATGTACAGCTAAGAGGATAGAGGTGAAAGTCCTCATCTGGAGCGAACTCCCAGTTGCCCGAGACAATGAGGTAATCGTCCCCAGCTCCCTTGTTGGAGTCTGGGAGGTCGGCAACGAGTCTGTATTCTGTGGACCTCAGCTTAAGGTAGTATATGTAGCCTTTTTCTAACTTAAGGCCACACATGGTGTAATAGTATTGTATGTCGGCTAAAGTTACCCTAGCATTTTCTCGGTTGGCTAGGGCTATGATACCATTGATGACTCTGTAAGAGTAATGGCTAATTGCATTGGGTTGAGTTTTTCGTAATGAAGGACTTCTTGGAAAAGGATGTTGACAACCTAAGTCCACACTCTATGAAAGCTACAATTGGGAAGGGCATGGAGCCAACTGTGGGCATGATGGAATCATCCTCCCCAGCCAACCTAAGGTGAACGTCGGCCGGGATGGAAAACTCCTGCCTAAAGTATTCTAACTTAGTTGGGGTGTCTACCCTATGCCTCCACATACCCATGATGTCAGCTTGAGGGGAATGTATTGGATTTCAGAAGGGTGTGCTTTGTAGAGGTTGGAGGGACCTCGGCAAAACTTAGAAGAATGATAGGGCAAGAAATTTTGAAGATTTAAGTGAAGTTTGTTTCAGTTTTTTCCTAAAATTCGTGGGTTCTACAACAAATCCCAAACCTAAAGACTATGGAGACAAGAATTGAAGTCAGGAATCTGGAGAAAACACAGAAAACAGAAACAAGAGCGAAAATTCAGTGTTAGGTATAGTGATGCACTATCAAGAACACAGTGACAAAGTGTGTACAAAAGTGTGAGGCCAAGAACAGTGGCAAAAATGAACAAATGGGTAAACAATGTGTATATTCAAGAAACGGATTGGGCAAAAGCAAAATCATAAAATAAACATACTCAGATACATGATTAAATTCATATACACAGATTTATAATCAAAAGCATAAACGAAGTCATAAGTAACAGAATACAAATGTAACAGAGTTCGAAGTGAACCAAGAACTGAAACCAGGAGGAATAGTGGCTTACCAGAGAATGTGTGGCCGATGTGGGGTTTGCCGAAGTCAGACGACGATAGCAAAAGCAACGAAACGGTAAAGACCTTGCTGGAGGAGATGAATGAAGCTAGGTGCAGAGCTTGGAAAAACTTTAAGAGAACGGAAATGGCGATTTTTAGAGAGAGAAAGCTTGAAACACAGAGAGAAAACAGTGGTGTGAGGTGAAAAGACAGAGAGAGAGGGAAGTAATTTTGTTGAAACACGGAATGGCGGCAAAATGGCAATTAGTGCGCCTAGGACGACGTGCTTGTCAGACGATGCACGCACAAGCGACGCAACTTCATGGCACGTGTTAGGTACAGCTCAGTAAGGGAAAGACGCGTGGCAGAAACGGTTGAAATGTTGTGCGTGATAGCTCACACGCATGTTGAAACTCTTGAAGTTCTTGGTTTGGTGAAGCAAAGACCTCGGCTAGGAGGATGATTTCGGCTAAATAATTTGAACCAACTTGGTTATTTGTTCTAAGGCATTGATGAAAACAGATTACAGGTCTTGGCCATATAGAGCCAACGAATGATGACCTTAGCAATGAAGGACAAGCGAGCTTAGCCAACGTGCTAAATGGAAGAAACGATATAGGTTCCATCACCTCAGGATGCCGAGGTAATAGAACCTAAGGGGCAGTTGTAGGGACATAATTTTTGAGTAATAACACATGGCCGAGGTGACACCGAAGTGTCAGCCGATGTGCCACGTGTCCTGGTTATGATGTCGAGGTAATCTCAGCTAGGCTGAGGTTATCTACGAGAATACCGGAATCTGGGATAAGCGGATAAGGGACAAGAGCCCTAGAATTGGGGAGGACTTCAGTCTGGATAAAGATGAGACTTTTAGAGAGTTTATCCCAATCTAACTGGGAGTCCAAGATTAACATTGAGACAGAATCTATTGGAGCTAAGCTTCTATTAGGATTAGGTCAGTGTTGGCTATAAAAGAGAGGTACCATAATGGGTCTAAGGTATGTTTTTTGTATTATGAATAGTGAGTTAAGCACTTTTGCTATCTTTGAGAGATAACTAACTTGATCATCAGAGTGCTCCCGGGTGAACGAACCACCGCCGGAATCTTATCTTTCTGTGACAGGTTGTTTGAGCTCAATCTATTCTGCCGGTGCTCTCCAGCTGAGTTCCCCCTTTGGTTGTGTGGTCGGAAATCAACACCCACAGAAATTTTGCACAAATGTTACTGAAATTTTTGTTGAAATGTTGCTGAAAATGTTGCTAAAATTTTGCTAGCATTTTGTTGAAATATTGCTGGAAATGTTGCTTCAATTTTGCAGAAATGTTACTAAAATGTTGCTAAAAATGTTGTAGTTTGCAATTTTTTTCTCAAGGATGAACACTATTCATAGAATGTTGATGACAATTTTGTTGTCTTCTTCTTCCTGGACTTAAAAAGGAAAGAACTAATGGCATCAACATAGGAGGCAGCACGCCGGGATGAGAAGGGACGGGGCGGGACAGTGATGTCCTCCTCTTCTCTCATTCTCTCCTTCCTTCTCTCTCTTTCTCTCTCTCTAATGCTTCACATGAATAGGAACGACTTCAAAAAATTGAAATTTGAATTAATTTTTTTAATGCTTTACATGAATAGGAACGACTTCAAAAAATTGAAATGTGAATTTATTATTATTTTTTTTATTTCGACAATGATAGAAACTTTTTTTTTTTTAGAAGACCCCCACAACCCTTAAAGTGATTCACACCACTCATGATGTAGAACCTCACATGTACATGAGTAGATCCCACACATCATGAGGGGTATGGATTACTTTGAGAGTTATGACTCACTCATTTTCTTTTTTATTTTTTGAAATTACTCAAAGTTTTGATGTAGTTACATCTCAACCCTTAAAAACTGAATGGAATACATGTCGGTCATTCATAAAGCACTGTAAAATATCACTCTAGAAATTCACTTTTGGAAGATCTTACCTCCCAATGGCGACCGACATCGTTCCGAACCTTTAAAAAAGTAATCTAAAAACCAAACGATTTATATCTAAGGACACGTGCCCTGTAGATTTGTCAGACTGATGGACACGTGTCGATCAGAGGCTCATTTGTAACGCCTACAAATAGAAAAATGAGTGAAGCTCTTGCCACTCACTCACAGTTTAAAATACTCCTAATTACTATCACTACAAACACTACTTGAAAAATGGCATCCACAGTTGACAAAACCAAGTGCCAAGCTGAGGTAATAATCATGACATTTATTTAAGGGAACATTACATTTCAGAGATTTTTTTTTAAAATTATTCACTAAATAATGAAAAAATTTATGTTTTTACTTTTTAATATATATAAAATTTACCATTAATTTGAAAATATTTCCCTAAAAATTCACTGAAATGAAATGTTTAAGAACATGTTTATGAAATCCATTTAACTATCTCAAATTTATTTCAAGTTTGAATTTGCATAGCGTAAAATTTATATGTAAAATAAATTTGAATCATAATTTTGAATAATTTTTGTATAGTTAAAGTCTATTACTGTATGTTTAATTAGTCTTTCTTGCTTATTAATTTTTTATCACTTGGCAACTTGTCATTAACGAGGTAAGTTGTCTAGAAAATGTATAGATGTATTTGTGGCAAACTTCTCTAACAAATCTAGTCCATGTTAAATTTTGGAATAATTTTTTTTGAATGTGTGGTTTTACTGGTCTTCAAAGCACTGTAAATATTGTGTTGTGGTATTAATTGGACTTGTTTTAGATCTTTCTATTTAGCTTAATGGACGTGTTGAAGCGACTCAACTACATGCCACACTTAGATGGTCGACTAAGGCTTATAAAAAACTTTTAAATTTTTATTATTGAATGGCCTAATTTTTCAAAAATTATATTAAAATAAGATCTTATTTTAATATTTGTCTAATGGTTTCAAAAATCTTGAGCCCTTTATTGTTATTAAGGTTTCAAAAATTGATATATAGAGATTTTTTTTTTTTTTTTTTATATCGATATTTATTAATATACTCCCTCCGTCCCATTTTGATAGTCCCATTTTGAAAAATTTCAACTTTTGAAGTAGATAAGTAATTATTACACTTGAATTTAAATTTTAAAACATTAATTTAAAAAATGCTCTTCTATTCTCATTTTTAATTCATTTTATATAAGGGAGAATTTTAAAAAAAAAATAGATTTAAAGTTTTGACTTTTGAAAATAAACATATATTTTGGGACAATCAAAAATAGAATAATGTGACTAATAAAATGGAATGGAAAGAGTCGTAAATTATAGTTGACATTAATATGTTATTTACCATTTATATGCTCTTCCAAAAAAAGTCTCAATAATCAGAAAACGGAAATAGTTTTTTCTTTAATTTCTAAATAATTAATTTTTAAAATTTGTTTAAATTATCATAAAATAGGTGAAGACAGGTGTCACCAAAGAAAAAGCGTCAGAAATGGCCCAGTCCACCCAGGAGAAGGCTGCGGCGGCCGCCCAGGCCACAAAGGAGAAGGCGGCGGAGATGGCGGAGAAGACAAGGGAGCAAGCGGTGAGCATGGCGCAAGGTGCAAAAGAGACTGCTTTGGGAAAGAAAGATGATCCGAAGAAAACCACTACCACCCCAAAGGACTGCTAGGTTGAATTGAAATTTGGAAGTTTGTCTGTTGGTGGTGTTGTCTGTTTTTAGTTCTATTTCTATATATGTATTTTGGTCTTTGGGCATGTTCTCTTAGCAGGTTAGAGTAAATGTACGGTGCCATGGTCAAATATCGGTCTAGTTGATATATTAATAAATAATCACGTCAGTCCCATATATCAACACTAATTGGCCGATATTTAGAGTCTTCCTAATGAAATGTACTTTTGACTTTTGTTATATAAAATGAAATCACCTTTATATGTCTCATTCAATTAAAAAAATTATATATATTCTACATGCAAGTGACATAACCCACATGTCACTCCATAAAATAAATCCAACCCACCAACACAGTATCTACTACAACTAATATCCACTCAGGGATAAGAAAAATGAATGGGAGTACTAATTAGTGCTACTACTAATGACATGACAGTGAGTCTCACCATGAATGATTTGATATTTTGACTTTCGTGTTGTATTTTTTTTCTTTTTTTTATTGAGTGTCATGTTATTAATAATTTTTTTATAACTCTAAAATTAGTAGTCTCTATCATTGTTGCAGGACAAACTCCACGGTACCATTTTCATCATGGTCCACAAATGAACCAACAAACACGTTCACATCATGCATCACACAAAGACAATCTCAGTTGCACAGAATAGATTGCAAAATCACAAACCCTAACCAAAATCTAATATAGTCATCATATGTGCGACACCAACACAAAATTCAGCACAACATTACTTAAATCAAGGACAAAACTCTACTCTTTAGATGCATAAATTGATAGTAACAACGGGTGGAGGAACTTATACTACTTGTAGCAACTCAATGGCCAATAGCAGTATGACACCCTGCGTCACCGGTGACCCAACTTATCATTCAAATTGAATGGGACGATGATGGGTTTAACGATTTGGACAATTATACCATCTTCCCGATTATGGGGTGATTTGGTGCAATCTATAAAATCAAAATATAAATGGTATTTGACATTCCCAAGCAACATTCACGTTGTTTTCGCAAATCCCACAATTTCGCAGATTGTGATCCCACATTAGTATTGAATGTGTATTTTTATATGTAACCTAGAGCGGAAATAATTAAAATCATGGTAGAATGTAAGGATGTAATTGATTCGGTACAGTAATATATTTTGATAAAAAAATTTACTGAATCGATGATGTCGATTTTATTATTTTGAGTATTGATATAAACTGTTTGTCTTATCAAACCGAACCAAACCAAATTGAACCGAACTTTTTTAATCGATTCAATCGATTCAATGCGGTTTAATCAGTTTAGGACCTTTTAAACTTGAGCCACTTTTTGGTATAATCACTAATCTATATAAAAATATTGAATTATTTATTTATCCATCACTTCAAACATATCCAATCCATCCATTTAAAAATAATTTTCAATTCCTAGAATGACAAAAATACAAACAAAAAAAGTTAAAAAGTATTAACACTTTAAGAATAAAGAGTTAAAGTTAAAATTATATATAATAAGAATTTACACACGTAGGTTATAGAGATGACAAAGTTAATTAATTAAAGTTAATAATTTATTAATATCATTATATTATTAGATTATAGATATATTTTAAATATAATATATATTGAAGTGGCCGATTTCGATTTAGTATAGTGTAAAAGATGTTTAAACTAACAACGAACCAAAAATCAATAAAAAAATTAAATTAAAAAATCACATAGACGAATTCTTATTAAAAAAAAAAAGACTAAATATAGTTAAGTAGGTGCAATTTAATCGGCTTGATTAATTTTTTAATTTTTCTTACATCCCTCATGGAATGTTTATTTTGTCCATATCTGTAATAATTCGAAAATTTAAGTTGTTTTTTAAATTTTATATTAGTATTATTTAATTATAAATGAGAAAAATTCTAAATGTTTAATTAAATATTCCGTAAGAGTAAAATAAAATATTGAATGTTATGGATGTATGAGATAAAGTGTAATTAAATTAGGGATTATATATTATTAGGAAAAAAAAAGGAGTGTATATAATTAATTAAAGCTTTGGACCAAAATAAAATTGAACCTAAAGTGAAGCATTTTAGATAAACATGAAAGATAAGTAAGAATTAATGAATTAATGGCTAAGGAATAGGGATGAGATGCGTGGGTAGCCGTGTGGTTTGGTGTGCACGGTTGCCTTTTTATATAAAGGAGGGATTTGCTTAGGATGTGGGGAAGGGAAACAAACAAAAAAAGGGGAAGAAAATATTGAAAGTCAAGAAGGACTTTGATAATGGAAAGAAAGAATGAGATATTAATTTTAAGGTGAGTTATTTTATATCTTGAGTCACCATAATATATTTTACATATGTTTTGAGTTATCATAATTTATTTTATGCAATTTATGTTTTATAGATTATATTAATATTTCGATTACGTTGATTATTTTCTAAACTCTATTTGCTTAAATTGAAAACCATGTATATGTTTGTTTAACTTTTAATAATAATTTGACAATGATTATATAAATATTTATTTTTGGTAAGTGCCACCACGGGAGTCCCATACCGTGAGGGACTTAAATAACCATTGGTCTCTGTTTGGTCACTCTGTAGCCTTCTGTTGTCATGGATCTATTGACATATGTTCTGTGCGAAAATAAGTGCTACACTATTGCAGGAGCCACCTCTATAATCCGTATGAGTCATCTCTTGAATTCATACCTCTATATTGTCATGAATCCATTGACCTCTACTCTGTTCTGTACCGTGATTATGGTTATATATTTTCATATAATATCATATGATTTCTGAAATGGATTTTTGTTATAATATGAACAACTTATTTACTCTAATAAAAAAGTATTCTATTTTATTTATTTTAAGCCTAAAGCTTATCTATGATAATTATGTTCTCAGTATAATATTTCTCACTCTGTCATGTGCTTATAATGATTTACCAATTTTCAGAAAACAATGCAATTCAGAAATAGTTTTTGGAGAGTATTAGACACAGGTTGCGGAATAGACATACATAACATTTTTATAGTATTTATAATTTTATTTTTCATATGTAAATATCAACTTTTTTATTCATTAAATTTTGTTATAAAAAAATTGAAGTTCCGATGATTATTTTAATACCCTCACTTAAATACTATTTTCACTCGCATTTATTTATTTAGTCAGTAATTAACTATAAATAACTTCAATTACTAAACATCATGATATTTAATCCTTTAAGTACGGAAACGGATCGTAACAATATCACAACCAATGACAAATGTGTCAATTAACATATTGTACCTGTGCGTTTACTTAGATAAATGTCGGACTAATTAGTCTACAAGTCTATCTGTTAGGATTTATGGGACATTGTCCCTTTTTCTAAACAAAAATGGTTCGCGAAAAAAAATTGTTTGAATGAATTATTATTTTTTTTAAAAAAAATTATTTTATGTAATACTTACACTGTGTTTGGTAACGTTTACGTTTTCAGTTTATATTTACAAAAATTTTATAAACTGGTTTTTGTTTATTTTTAGGAAAACATAAACTACAAACACGTTTGGTAATTGACAAAATGTTTAAAAAATTTAAAAATATAAAAAAGAGTAAGAAATGACAAGTGAGGTTTTTATTTGAGTTTTTTTAATTTTTGTAAATATAAATAGAAAACTGAAAACGTAAGTGTTACCAAACGGCACCTTAATGTTTTTTTTACCAATAATTTAAAAAGAGTACTGTTATTAATATTCCATCAATTATTTTAAATCTTTCATTTTTTTGGACTCTCACTTATAAATTCTAAAACCATGAAAATTTCTTTTTTGCCCTCAAATAATACCGAAATTATTATTGTAAAAATATTTCAACCATTCAAATGCACACCCTCACACCCCCTACACCCTAAAAAGTCTCTCTCCCAAAACCCTAACAAAACCTACGACGGTGCACTACAACAAAAAGTGTCTTTAGAGATGAAAACTAATGACATAAATAAATTTTGTCACGAAATACGTACCTTTTAATGACGAAAATAATATTCCGTCTCCAAATATACCATTTTTAGAGACAAAAATAAAATTATGTCCCTAATCTACATACATAATAAAAAATTTAGATGACGAAATTATTTTTCGTCATTATTTATAAAAAAAAACAAATTGTCACCAAAGATTTTCCCACTATTTTTTTTTTCAGAGGGTGCCAAAATTTTGAGACTTTTGGTGAGGAAAAAATTGGTCACCAATTATAAAATTATTAATGACGAATATATTTTCGTCACCAATAATATTAAATATTTTAATATCATTTAGTGGAGAAACTATTTTCGTGGCCAATATTTTCATCTTTAGTGAGGAAATAATTTTGTCACCAATAAATGGTTTAGTTGCTAAATATTTTAGAGGGAAATTAACATATTGGCGCCTTATAGAATTTTTCTTCTTCTCTCACACAGATACATTGATCGGCTCTTCTTCTCACACAGATATTCGACCACCAAACCTCACCCTACATCACTTTACCTTAGAGCAGACCACCAACGCCGCTTGCCACCGCCACCATCGCATTCTCACAGGTACTCTCTCACTCTCGGTCTGTCTCTCTCTCACTTGCGGTCTGCCTTTCTCTCTGTTTCTCGTTCTGTCACCACAGTCACTCTCTCTCCCTCTCTGTTCCTTTTTCTCTATTTCCCCCTTTCTGAATCTTGCTCTAGGGTTGTTATGATTTGTTTAATTTAATTTGGAGCTGATTGCAAAAAATAGGTTTGGTTGAAGTGGTCTATTCCTCTATTTCTAAATCTCTTGTTTCCCTCTTTATATTTAATGTTTTTTATCATCAATTTCTACATCTAGCTTTGATATATAATCCTTGTGTTTGTTATTGAATTAGATTCTAGCTATAATAATTTTCTTACTCTTTAGAAATTGTTATTTCATAGGTGAAGTAAACATCATCTTCATTTCTTATTGAAGCAGATTTCTATAGACATTTTTTCTTATGTAGTAATTTTGACTGCTCAATTCTATATAGAGCTTAAGTGGTTATTTGCAAATCCTTGTGATTGCATATAAATATACATGTATTGCTGTCAATTGGTTTTCTTCCCTATATTCCATTTGTGAAATGCTAAAGATTGCAGAAAGATATGCATGTTTGGATTGGTTGAAAATTATTTCCTGTGTCAAATGACTACAGGATGGAGGAATTGGGCTTCCTGTTATTATTATTTCTTGGTGGGAGAGACTCCATAACTTATGAATTAAGTATT